GTGCAGGCTCTGTGGCCACGGCTCACGGGCCCAGCCACTCCGCGGCATGTGGGATCTTCCCGGACCAGGGCACAAACCCATGTCCCCTGCCTCGGCAGGCGGACTCTCAACCACTGCACCACCAGGGAAGCCCCTGCCTCCATTTAAAATTGCATCCACCCCAACAGTTTCCATCTTGGCCCCCCCAATCACCTTCATTAGTACTCACCAAAACTTGCAGTGTTATTTGTCTACTAATTTCTTGTTTTTGTCTGTTTCAATCACTAGAATGTCAGCTCCATGAGGGCAGGACCCAGTCATTTGTGTCTCATTCACTACTGTATCCTTGGCATTTAGCACAGGGCCTGTCATGTAGCAGGCCCTCAATAAATATTTGTTGAATGAATGAATGGCTCTTTTTTTTTTTTGCGGTACGCGGGCCTCTCACTGTTGTGGCCTCTCCCATTGCGGAGCACAGTTTCCGGACGTGCAGACTCAGTGGCCATGGCTCACGGGCCCAGCCGCTCCGCGGCATGTGGGATCTTCCCGGACCGGGTGTCCCTTGCATCGGCAGGCGGACTCTCAACCACTGCGCCACCAGGGAAGCCCGAATGGCTCTTTCTTAAGAGCAACTCACAGGCTGGGAGAAAAATGTAAACAAATAGTTGCAGTAGAGCACGGGGGTGATATGATATGTACAGATTGCTGTGGGCGCATTAGACTAGGAACATTACAGCATGGTGGTTAAAAGCAGTCACACTAAAGTGGGATGGCCAAGGTTCAACTTCAGGTTCTGCCATTCACTCACTGGGTGACCTTGAGTAACTTTCTTAACCTCCCTAAGATTTAGATATTCTAGTAATGACCATGTCGAGGATTTTTGTGAGAATTAAATGAGGTTTACTGCATGTGCAGAGCCTGTCACATACTGATGCATAACAAATGTTAGCTGTTGTTATCAAAGGAAGACTGGGGCTCCTTAAGAGCACTATGCAAAACTTACATGTATTAACATATGCAGAATGAAAAAGAAAAACAAAAATGGTGGACTCTTTTAAAAAAGTCATTCTAGGGAGTTCCCTGGTGCCCTAGTGGTTAGAATTCTGGGCTTTTACTGCATGGCCCGGGTTCAATCTCGGTTGGGGAACTGAGATCCCGCAAGCCGAGCAGCATGGCCAAAAAAAAAGTCATTCTATAAGGTCAGAATTAACCTTTACAAAGCAAATAACCCTCCCTCTCAGTTATTTCACCAAGATTTCCACATCTTTTCTTTTTGGAAGAAAGGTAATAGATTCTTTATAGGAGCCCTGGTTGGAGAATACTAGGTGATGCCATACAGATTAGGGGGTGAAGGTCCTGTTTTCTTTGCCACCAGAGGGCACCAGTCAGTCAAGTCAATCTCTACCTGTCGTGAAACTATAAGAAAGCTCTAGGAAGCTATCTCTGCCATTCATTCTTTGTGTTGTAAGTACCCACTATGCACCAAACATTATAGTGTATAGTATATAGTATATGGTTATGAGAAAGATCTGTTGTCCTTCTGGAATTTATAATCTTGAGCATGTGTCTGAGAGACCCTATTAGACATGGGGGGAGGGGTGGAGGGTGGGGTTCAATTTGTGATTTGTTGTTGTTACTGATTATCTTCCTGCCCTTGGCTGTGAGCCCATGAGAACAATTACTTAGTGTTTATTTTGTGTCAGACAGTGTGCTGGTTGCTGAGGATCCAGGGATGAATAAGACACAGTTGTAACCTACAAATAAACAATGTCTTACCGGCTGAGATAAAAAGCCATGAGACAAGTTCCATGGAATTTGAGTTCCTCTGATGTGAGTATGGAGTCTTAAGTACGCAACTCATTAACACACTAGGCTGTGAGCTTCCTAGATAGGTATATGTTTATTAGTCACCCATCTTAGGGTCATGGCATTGTGAATATTTAGTATGAGTTTGTGAGTTGATCTGAGTCCAGAGACAGGCTTCTGGTCTGGGTGCCAGGTGTATGTTCCAGTGACTTAGGCTAGGGATCTGCCATCTTCTGGGTCAGGGTGGGGCTATGATGAGTCTATGTGGGTGAAATGCTTTGAAGATGAACTTTCTGCCTATTTGTCTACTCACAGCCTTGCTATTAAAAGTGTCAACATCATCTCCCACGTTTCCAGGTCAGCAATCTCCCTAAATTGAATGGTGGAGGAGGGGAAGTCAGAACCAGTCAAACACCATCCTTTGGGGAGGAGGGGCTGAATTGACTAAAATACGCTCTAATTCCAGTGGAGTTTAGTCTCAAAACTGAGGGAATAGAGTTGGGAGGCTAAGGAATGATTCTTTAAAATACTGAGGCCTCATCTATGAGAAAAAATAACAACAACAACAAAATGAAGGGGCTCTCTCATTGTGGATTGTGCAGAGTGACTTCCTTCTAAAGAGTACAGTATAGAAAGGAGGTAAAAGGAGTAACTTTACAGTGGAGAAAAGTGGCTGACATATTCTGTCAGCCAGGTGACTGAGGTCAATATCAACACTACGTCGTGTTGATATTATGTGCTCTTGATATGATGTGATGAAAATATCATTTTACTCCTGTGATCTCCCCTTCAAAACCCCAGAACTCCAGTTTAATCATGAGAAAAACATCACAAATTCTAACTGAGGGACATTCTACAGTATCCTTGACTAGTACTCTTCAAAACTTTTAAGGTCATCAAAAACAAGGAAAGTCTGAGAAACTGTCACAGTCAAGAGGAATCTAATAAAACATGAAAACTAAATATGGCATCTAGGATAGGATCCTGGAATAGAAAAGCGACTTTAGGTAAGAACTAAGGAAATGTGAGTAAAGACTTTAGTCAATAATAATATATCAGGGCTTCCCTGGTGGCACAGTGGTTAAGAATCCACCTGCCAATGCAGGGGACACGTGTTCGAGCCCTGGTCTGGGAAGATCCCACATGCCACGGACCAGCTAAGCCCGTGTGCCACAACTACTGAGCCTGAGCTCTAGAGCCCGCAAGCCACAACTACTGAGCCCGTGTGCCACAACTACTGAAACCCGTGCACCTAGAGCCCATGCTCTGCAACAAGAGAAGCCACTGCAATGAGAAGCCCGTGCACTGCAATGAAGAGTAGCCCCCGCTCGCCGCAACTAGGGAGAAGCCCTCGTGCAGCAACGAAGACCCAATGCAGCCAAAAATAAATAAATTTATTTAAAAAATGATATATCAATATTGGTTCATTAATTGTAATAAATGTACTACACTAATGTAAGATGTTAATAATAGGGGAAATTGGGTACCAGGTATATGGGAACTATCTGTACTATCTTCTTCATTTTTCTGTAAATCTAAAACTGTTTAAAAAAAAAGTCTATTTAAAAAATGGAGGGGGTGGTATCCAGAAAATAACTTTGCCATAAATTTTTTTTTTTTTCTTGCGGTACGCGGGCCTCTCACTGTTGTGGCCTCTCCCGTTGCGGAGCACAGGCTCCGGACGCGCAGGCTCAGCGACCATGGCTCACGGGCCCAGCCACTCCGCGGCATGTGGGATCTTCCCGGACCGGGGCACGAACCCGTGTCCCCTGCATCGGCAGGCGGACTCTCAACCACTGCGCCACCAGGGAAGCCCTGCCTTAAATTTTTTTAAAAATAAAATTTCCTATTTATGGATCATTTACCATATGCCAGTGATAAACTCTGTACATGGATGATCTCATTTAAATATTTCAATTGTTTATTTATTAGGCATAATTAACCCTCTTTTACAGAAGCTGATGAAAAAGGTCTTATAATGTAAATGGTGGAGCAGGGGTTGGTACCAAGGATCTTTCTGATCCCCAAATTCTAAGTGTACGGAACTCTCACAGTATCCTGGCTTTTCTAGGAAACGTTCATGGAGTTATCATAGGACATGCCTTCCAAAGAGAAAGGGGTATTCTAAATCATGGGGATTGAAGACCTCTACATCTCACTTCTGCCAGGATTATCTTAAAAGTCCCCCAGTTCTAAGTTGGACTTTCAAGCCGGAAAAGATCTGTAGGGGGTCAAAGTTCAACTAAATACGCCATTTGACAAATGGGTAAACTGGGGGATAGCTAGAGCATTTGCCCCAAATCACACAGAAAAGGGCCAAGAACCCAGGTTCAGTCTGTATTATTATTTCTCTCATTTCCCACAACTTCCTCTTTGTAGTTAAGAAGGGAAGTAGAAACTGACCTATCTGCCTTCCCCATTTCTCGGATGGGAAACTGCCCCCCAGCCCCCTAAGTTGGTGACACACTGCTCTCCAAGGACACAATGGCATGAGGACTGGACCTGCAGAAGAGATGTCAGGAAGCTTGTTTCCACCGACAAAACCCATATTGCCAGCACATCCTTGTCAAGCACCTACTGAGTGCGGGGACGACGGACTGTGTGTTATAGCGCGGGGGGCGGGGGGTTAGGCCTGCAGAGGATCTGGGGCTCGTAGGATGACTGCGGGAGGCCAGTGGATACAAGTAGTGGGGAGGAGGGCGATGACAGCTCTAGGACAGAGGTCCCTTCCGGGGCGCGCGTTTGGAACCGCGGCGTCAAGCCGCACAGCCGTCATTTTGGGGCCAAGGGCATGCCCTGCGGCCACCCTCGACCCCCACTGCCGCTTGGCCCTTTAAGGGCGGGGGACACTCGCCAGGCGTCACAAAGCGCCGCCACTGCGTGGGGCGGTGGAGAGGAGGCAGGGAAGTGGGAGGAGTGGGAGGAGGAGGAGGAGGAGGAGGAGGAGGGAGAGGAGGGCGGGGGAGGGAGAGGAGGGCGGGGGAGGGAGGGGCGCGCGCACGCGCGTCGCGTCGGGCCGCCCGCCGCCGAGAGCCGCCCTCCCTCCCGACGTGCGCCCCTCCTCCCACTCTCCCTCCCTCCTTCTTCTCGGCTCCGTCGCTCCCGCGGCGCGAGGCGCTCTTGCTCTTCTCCTCCTCCTCCGCCGTCGCCCCTCCCCCCCCGCCGCCGCCCCCCCCCCCCCGAGGCCCCCCCGCGCCCCGCCCCCCCCCCCCCCCCCGCCCTTCGGCCCCGCGCGCCCTTCGGCCCCGGCGGCCCCGGAGGAAACGAGAGGGCGAGCGAGCGCGGCGCTCCCGGGCCGGCTCGGCCCCGTCCGCTCACCATCGCCGGCCCTCCGCCGCCTTCCTCCGCTTCCACCTCCTCTCCCCCCCCCCCCCCCAAGTTGAGGCCCCCTCCGGGGGGGGGAGGCCCGGGACCCGGAGCGAATTTCTCTAACTCTCTCCACCTTTCCCCCACCCGGCCCGAGTGTGAGGAGAAGGGCCCGGCCCGGCCCGCGTCGTGTGTGAGGAGGAACCGGGCCGGCCCACGGGCCGTCTGGGGCCTGGTCCGGGCCGCCGGGCGTGTGAAGACAGGGGCCCGGTGCGGGCCGCCCGAGGGCGAGCGGAGCGGAGGGGAGGGGCCTGGTCCGGCCCGGCCGGTGCGTGAGGACTGGGGCCCCGGCCCGGCGCCGCCGTCGCCGCGATGGCCCAGCAGCAGATGACCAGTTCGCAGAAGGCCCTGATGCTCGAGCTGAAATCCCTTCAGGAGGAGCCGGTGGAGGGCTTCCGGATCACCCTGGTGGATGAATCCGACCTCTACAACTGGGAGGTTGCCATCTTCGGACCCCCTAACACCCTCTACGAAGGCGGCTACTTCAAGGTACCCCCGACCCCATCTCAGACCAGCCTTCCCCAGGTGGAGGCTGCCGCTTTCGGTAGTTTTCCCGGCCGAGAGTGGGAGCGCGGGTGAGCGGAGGGGGCTCCTCACCTCGGCAGCTCCCTCCCCCCATCGGTGGAGGCAGGAAGGCCTCGCTCGCTCACCAAGTGCCTTTTCTTTGTCATGGGGGCGGGGGCGGGAGGCCAGACTGCACCGGGAAATAGGAAAGCCTCTTTGGCTAGGGTAGTGGCTACCGGAGGAGGAGGGCAGTCTTTGTTTTGTTTCCCCAGCCGAGGGTGTACGGAAAGAGAGGTGGTCTGGCTTTCCCCTCTCGTCTTCCCATCTCTGCGCCGGCTGGAACTACCCCAGAGGGCAGAGTGACCTGCACTTATGGGATTGGACCTTTTTTGGGGTGGGGTGGGGGAGGGGTACCGGCCTGTCATTCCGGAGGCTGCCTAGTGGCCTGACATTTGGGGGGTTTGATGGGCTTCTTGCATACTGGTGGTTCCAGCTTCGCATTCCAGCGGGCGTTAATGGAGAATAGGAACCCTAGGGGTGCTAAACAAGGGTGCCTGCATTTTCTTGCCATTAGCCACTTGAGGGAACTGTAATTTGGCCCCCTTTCTGTTCTCGTTTTGTATTTACTTCAGTGGTGTTTCAAAATGCCCTTTGTCCTCACCCTGCCACCAACTTTACTGCCCCCGCTCCCCTCACCCACCGCCTCCCATGTAGAAATATCCACAGAGGGCGGTACATGTTATGTAGAGAGAGAGTTTCCCACTTTAGGGACACAAAATTGAAACCTTTCGCTCAGATGGTTAACTCTAGCAAATGGGGGGGGTGGTCTTACGGATGAAAAGTATCATCTGAGGTGGGATGGTTTCACAGAGTAGGACCGCTCCTTAACGACCATAGACATTGTTTCTGTTGTTTTCCAGGATGTTAGAACAGTGGTTATTATCATTCCTGAATCCAGTAGTTTCTTTATTCCAAGACAGATAACTTGGAGATACTGAGGGGTTTTTGTTTTTGTTTTTATTTTTATTTTACCATTTTTTAAAGGGCAAATCACAGGTTGAAGGTCGAATGCTTTAAATGGTGGGGGAACAGAGAGAGGAAAAGAGTGCTTAGGAATTCATTTAATTTAATTTTTTGTTTCCAAAATTAAGTAAAATAGGGCTGTGAGTCAGTCTTGGTTTGTTTCGAAGGGAGGGGCTATCTTGGCAAAAGTTTTAAATGAGTATCTTAGTCATGTAGTTACGTGTATTTTTAAGGAGTACCCAATTACTTTAGTTTCTACTCCTCTAAAGGTAGAAGCCTCAGTTTCAGGCTTGAAATTGGGTCTATTTTGTAGAAAATGTCAGGAATTGATATGGGAATGTTTAATATTCATGTCTCTGATAGTCACTGAATACCTAGTTAAAAACATGTATTCAGTGTTTAGAATATCGTGTATATCAACTGTATGCTTCATGTTTTGTGGTCACCATACGCTGTACTCAGATGCAGATACTTGCAAAATCTACTGGCTAACTTTAGTGGAATGAAGTTTAATTTCCAAAAAGTATCATTGTTTGGGACAATCAGTAGTCAAGATAAATGGATACTAGCTAGAATGATCTTACTCCTATGCAGTTTGTTAAAACAACAAAACAACAACAAACTGTACATGGAAGGAAATAATGGGTTAAAAATTGTAATATTTTTGCTTAAGTAATTGGGAAGGGAGTGTGGTGAACCCTCTCAGTTTGGAATAGGTAGTTTGGAAGGAGGATTCCCTGTAGTATACACTGATTTAAACTAACTGCTTTTTAATTTCAGTCTTATTTAAAAAGAATGGTTTGATCTCCAATTTTGTTGTATGTGTTAGATATCTTAATCTTTTTTTTACCTTTAATTGTGACATGTAAAAAAAATATATGAAAATTCTTAAACAGGTTTAATGTTTTAGTCTTGTGTAAGAATTTTGGTCAGTTTTGTTTCTTCTGCTTTTGGCAAAGGACTTTGGCTTTTTATACCAAAGTTCTTCATTGGAAAAAGGCAAATTTATGGTCATGAGCAGTTGACACTGGTGATAAGTTTAAAACCATTGTTTTTTATTTCACTGCTTTTGTGAAACAAGGCTTTTAGTGTGTTTCACTACAGCTGCAGTTAAAAGTTGGCACAGACCTTTCTGTACTACTGTTCTCCCTTATCAAATGGGGGTCCTTGAACATTTAATATAATTTATCAATATTTTCAAGTTAAACTCTTTTTTCTATTTTGCATTATAGTTTCCGAAGGCAGTGGGCTGCCAGTCATTCTTTAAATTTTTCATAACGTAACTCCTTTACCTTTTACATATTAATAGGCTTCTAACTGATGTTTTTCATCATGAAATAGTTGGTTCCAGTCTGTTTTAACTGTGGCATCTGTTGTAGTAGAGATTTGTGAAACCTGTATTTCACAAATTTGTTTTTTCATCCTATTTTTCTTTTTTAAATATCTTGAATCTGTATGATTCTTAACTTGGGTGGGCGGGGGGAATCTAGATATATGATGGGCAAAGGTAGTTTCTTGTGTCTGATTTTCTGCATGTTATAAACTCTTCTTTGGCTTCACTATCTTTTTGTCTAATTTCTTGATCTCATTATTCACCCAGTGAATTTCTTTGCTGCTTCGAATTTTTCCTCTGGGGTCAACCATTATAGAACATAAAGTAGGAGATGACTTAGAACACCCAGAACACGTCTGAACTTAATTTTGCTAATGTGGAGCAAGTTGGAATTTTACTATGTTACTGGAAGAATAACTTGTCGATCAAGTGAGCAGTTAGTGATGACTTTTAACACGTTCACCTCCGTTCCTTTAAAAAGAACTGTCTTTTCAAGTAAGTCCTGATAATGATCATAACTTAGTGTGGCTGCTTTAGTATAGAACCTCCTTGGAACTCCTGCATTATTTATCTAAATGCACAATAGCAGTGAGTCTAGATACCAGAAAGTGAGAGTGACTCTTTCATGATATGAATAACGTTAAAGTTTAAGTGATGCAGAATGTTTAAAGTATTGCAGTTTTTGTAGTTTTGGTTTTATTCAGTAATGTAAGGAGATGAAATATAGGCGTGTTTCTTTTTTGGATAACTCCCAACTAATAAAATTTAGGAAGTATTTGTGATATACTCAAAGTTTTCCTTAATAGGATCTTCTTCATCAGACTTACCGCTTTGTTTTATATTAAAGAAATTCTTCAATAGTTGTTTTTTAAAGTAAAGGACATGCATTATTTTCATTTGTTCTAGAGTAAATGAATGTATTCTTTGCATGCCACCCCCCCCCAAAAAAAAAAAAACAAAAAACACACCAAACTACCAAACTTAACCTCTGTGCCTGGCAATGGTCTTCAGATTATATATAGCACATTCTATTTTATGACTTTAAAATTCTTAACATACAGTTGAAACAGTTTTTCTAAGCAACTGTTAGTCTTTTTGGTGTAGGGATCCTTTTGAGAACTTGATAAATTTTCTTCAAAAGACAATGAGGACACAGAAAGTAGTTTGTATGCATTTTCAGATGGTTAACTGACCTGTTAAGAATCCCTCTTTTGGGACTTCCCTGGTGGTCCAGTGGTTAAGATTCCGCCTTCCAATGCAGGGGACAAGGGCCTGGGAACTAAGACCCGACACAGCCAAATAAATAAATAAATAATTTTAAAAAACAACAACAAAAAAGAATCTCTGTTTTAAGGGATTGGATTGGCAACTTTAAAAACAAAATTAAACAAACACCTTTGACATTATAAAAGTATTGCTATTTTTTTAGAAAACAATTTTGTGATGAATCAGTCAGTTAAAATTTTCTTAGTTTTAAGTTTTTCCTCAGTTTCTTTAAGAACACCTCTTAGGGCTTTTAGCTGTTACCTTTTCTGGAAGCTGAACTTGTCTTGAGTGCTGGGTGAACTAAAGCAACATTGTAAATGGAAACGTGGTTAATGTCCAATGGTTTGGGGCACTAAATGCAATTTTAGTCCCCTATCCCCAGCCCCCACCTCTGGCAAATATAACGCCTCAGTATTTCATAGAGTATGCTTTTACTGTATTAAGTTGATTCCAAGATGCATATTTTTCTAGTTTCACTTCTCAAATTTGGAATGAGTCCATGAAGTCTTAGAATTGCCATCAGCCAGCTGACACTAGTGACCTAGGTGTAAGAGACCCTTCCATTGAAATCTTCTGATAAAATTTTTTTAAATGCCAGCATCAGTGTCTTAAATTTGATAAAATAAGGATTATTTCTTTTTGAACCAAGGATTTGTGTCCTCAGTACTTTTTGCTGCTTATTGATTCCCCTTTTTCAGAGGTTTGTGTTCGTAAACAATATTTATCGAACACACATCAAAGGCAAGCACTGTAGGAAGTGTTACTACCTTTTAGATAGTAAGGAAAAGAATTCGGACATTGATAACAGAGCTTTTATGAATGATCTTCATAAAAATCTTTGTGCAGACTTTGAAATACAGAAATGTGAGGTGTAGGTGTTACTGACAGAATTGTAATGGTAATTAAAATCAGAGTTTTAAGGCCAGTTAGCGCATTGGTCAACATAACCACCGTTTGTCATGATGAAATGTTCTGTTCCATCTTTGCAACTTAGTATTAGTGGTCCTAGTCTAAGGTTCCAGAAGAATCTGTTGGAGACAGGTGAAATAAAGGAGATCACCTAAGAAATTGGCCTACTTCTGCTAATCTAGTTATGGGAAAATAACAGGAAGAGTTACAAATTCAGGGTTTACGACTATAGAACTCCATCTTGCTGAAAGGTCCTATTTAAAAGTTTTAATTCTTTTATGTTCCTGAAATTCTTTTGGACTGTTTCGTGTACAGCTACATAGATATCCAAATAAGACTGAGCTGAGCCTCTTTGAAAGTGTTTTGTCAACACAGAATTAATTCATTTTAGCTTTATTCAGCGAGAAATTGTTATTCAGAGTTGTATGCTTATGTTTCTTTAAACTAATTGATT